GCTCATGCAGCGCTGCCTGGGGGGACAGTTGGTTGATACGACATTGGTATACCTAGACGACATCATCGTCTTCTCTCCAGACTTCACGGCCCATCTGCTTCATCTTGAGCAAGTGTTCCAGGCAATGGAAAGATACGGACTGAAATTGCGACCAGAAAAGTGTCACCTGTTTCAGAAGGAGGTAAAGTTTCTGGGTCACTGTGTCAGCGCCGCGGGAATTTCCCCAGATCCGGAGAAGGTATTGGTAGTACAAGGGTGGGAGCCCCCTACGACGGTCCGACAGGTGCGATCCTTTCTGGGTTTTGTCGGTTATTACCGGCGGTTTATCAAAAACTTTTCGAAAACTGCCAAGCCCCTAAACCAGCTTCTCGTGGGCACTGCACGGCCGCGGGGCCGGGGGTCCCCTTCAGTGACTTGGAGTTCAACTTGTGAGACAGTGTTCCAAACCCTTAAACAGGAGTTGTTACAGGCCCCGATCCTCGCCTATGCTGACTTCACCCAGCCGTTTATTCTCTACACTGACGCTAGTAATCTGGGACTGGGAGCAGTATTGGCCCAGAGGCAGCAAGGCATGGAGAGAGTGATCACCTATGCGAGCCGGAGCCTCCATCCGGCGGAGAGGAATGATGCGAACTACAGCTCCTTCAAGCTTGAGCTCCTAGCAATGAAGTGGGCAATGAGCGAAAAGTTTAAAGATTATCTGTGGGGGGCTAAAGTGCTGGTCGTAACGGATAATAACCCTCTGGTCCATCTACGCACGGCTAGGTTGGGGGCGGTCGAACAGCGGTGAGTGGCTCAGTTGGCTAATTATAACTATCAGCTGCAATATCGACCAGGACGGGAACACGTGAATGCAAATGTGCTTTCAAGGCTCCCAACGGCGGATCCAGGAAGTTCAGCCTTGTCTCTGCCCAACGACACCGGAGAGGGGCTCCTGGTGGGGATAGTGGAAGCCCCAGGATCGGACAAAGGGGATGTTCCTGCAAACTGGGGATGGGATCCAAGGCGGTGGAAAGAGCTGCAGGGAAGGGACAGGGACCTAGTGGTGGTTCGGTCCTGGTTGGACAAAGGCTGCTTGCCCACAGCCGCCGAGAGGCGGACACAGACGGCAACGGTGCGACGACTCTTGGGGCAATGGGGCAGGCTTTGCCTGAAGGAGGGAGTAATATGTCGCTCCATCCAGGATCCAGCAACCCGAGAAAGTTTAGAACAGGTGGTGGTACCTGACGACCAGATTCAGCCGCTGTTACGTGCTTATCACACCCAGATGGGACATCAGGGGCAGGGGAGGACATTGTCCTTATTGAGGAGGTGCTTCTTTTGGCCCGGGATGGATGCGGCTGTTGGAGTCTTCATTCAGGGCTGCCCCCGGTGTTTGCTGTTCAAGACCCGGAAAGAGGTGCGAGCTCCGTTAGTCCCGATGCGGCCCCGGGCCCCAATGCACATCGTAGGGGTGGACTTCCTGACGTTGGGAAGGCCAGCAGATCGTTATCAGAACATCTTAGTGGCCACTGATTTGTTCACAAAATATGCTTGGGCTATTCCTACTTTTGATCAGACGGCGACCACTACCGCCACCGCTCTTTGGGAGGCTGTGTTTCAGCCCTTTGGATGCCCTGAGGTTCTCCATTCAGATCAGGGTCCGAATTTTGAGTCAAGGGTGATCTCGGAACTGTGCCAACTCTATGGATGCCGTAAGACCCACACGACCCCATATCACCCCCAAGGGAACAGAGGGTGTGAGAGGTTTAATCAGACCCTGTTGAGTTTGCTGGGGACGCTTGAAGCAGAGCAGCAGGGCTCGTGGGCGGACTGCCTCCCCTCATTAGTGCAGGCATATAACAACAGCGTGCATAGCACTACAGGCTACGCTCCGTCCTATCTGATGTTTGGGAGACATGTACGTCTACCTGCTGACCTACTATTGGGGACTGTCCCGACAACCGGGATTCGGAGCACTACCGAATGGGTGGGACGACACCATCAGCAGCTCCATCGGGCCTATGAGCGAGTTACAGATCGAATTGGGGGAGCGGCTGAGAAAAATAAACGGTTATACGATCGAACAGCACGAGAGGCCCCCTTGCTGCCCGGGGAGCGGGTCCTGGTCAGAGATGTACGACGGAAAGGGAAGGGCAAGCTGAGCGACCGGTGGGAGGCTAAGCCGTATGTGGTAGAACGACAGCGAGACCCGGAATTACCTGTGTACACTATCCGGCCGGAAGGAAGGTTGGGCCCCGAGCGGGTATTACATCGTAACCTACTTCGGCCTTGTCCCAACTACTCGAGGCCTACAGGGGAGGCACCCATGGCCCCAAGGACCCCCGCACTACCAGTGGTAGGATGGGCGTTGGTCCCAGTGGGACCTGAGCCGGTGGCAGTAGGAGAGGCACACCCATCCCCGCCACGACGCTCACAGCGAGACACCCGAGGACAACCACCAGCAAGGTATGGTGAGTGGGTGTCGGCTCGGGAGATCTATGGACTAGAACTCATTGGCGGGGGAGAGTGTCACGGGGTGACTAAAAGCGGAACCTTAGTTGCGGAAATTGAGCCCGGGGAACGTTTCCGGCGTAACACGGGACCGGTTCCGGGAAAACACGGAAGTAGGGAAAAACAGGGAAGGAGAGTTGACGAGCGCGATTGTTGTCAGCTGTGCAGCGGGGAAAGATCCTGAAGGGCGATTGGACCACGAGGAACATAAAAGAGGTTGATACGGAGAGGAAGGTCGAGCGGCGGAGCGGGAAGCGAATCACAGAGACGCAACGGAGGTCGGGTGAAGAGACAGCGAGGAAGGGGCCAGCGGTGGAAAGCACAGGGCTTAAAAGAGATAAGTGACGGTCTCCTTTCACCGAACATAGTATTAGGATCTGTCATAGTATTATTGGGTGGAAGATTTACTTCACTTTGTTTCTTGAAGAGGTTGTAACGGGACTGCGTCTGCAGACATTAATTTGGGGGGAAAGAAGAGGAGCGCTTCAGATGCGACATTGCAGTGCAGAGTTTGTTTACATCTGTCATAGAGATTCTGTTCGCCGAGGCTGTCGTCAGGGGCCCGCACGCTGATTTCGGTGGGTAAGGTTTTGTGAGTGCAGTGCCGGTCATTCTAATCACGTGTGTTGTAGTGGAAGCACGAGTGGGGAGAGAAAGCTGCGGCCTGTGCGGCATCCGAACGAACAGACCTACGACGAAATCGCATTCCTCATTGTTGTCGACCGAGCCACATCCTCACTGCTGCATCCAGCCCTGTATCTGAGAAGAGTGAGCATATTGAATCCATACTAACACACTGTTTAATAGTCTATGCTGAAGTCCCGCTGAGCCAGTGAACCGAGCCATATCCTCGCTGTTGCATCCAGCCCTGTATCTGAGAAAGAGTGAGCATATTGCATCCATCCTAATCTGCTTGTTTAACAGTCTATGCTGAAGTCCCGCTGAGCCAGTGAACCGAGCCACATCCTCGCTGCTGCATCCAGCCCTGTATCTGAGAAAGAGTGAGCATATTGCATCCATCCTAATCTGCTTGTTTAACAGTCTATGCTGAGCCAGTGAACCGAGCCACATCCTCGCTGCTGCATCTAGCCCTGTATCTGAGAAGGAGTGAGCGTATTGCATCCACACAAATCTGCTTGCTTACCGGCCTATGCTGAAGTCTCGCTGGGCCAGTGAACCGAGCCACATCCTCGCTGCTGCATCCAGCCCTGTATCTGAGAAAGAGTGAGCATATTGCATCCATCCTAATCTGCTTGTTTAACAGTCTATGCTGAAGTCCTGCTGAGCCAGTGAACCGAGCCACATCCTCGCTGCTGCATCCAGCCCTGTATCTGAGAAGGAGTGAGCATATTGCATCCACACAAATCTGCTTGCTTACCAGTCTATGCTGAAGTCCCGCTGAGCCAGTGAACCGAGCCACATCCTCGCTGCTGCATCCAGTCTTGTATCTGAGAAGAAAGAAAGGCCCGCTGAGCCAGCGAAGCAAGCCACATCCTCGCGGTTGTATCCAGCTCTGCTCCCGAGCATAATGAGGGGGCATACTAAATCTATACCAATCCACTAGGTCTGCAGTCTCGTTGGCCTAGTGACTCGAGCTCAATCCCCACTGCCGTCATCCAGGTCGGACTTGTCGACACAGGAGAAACGGTTGGCCTGTTCTCTCCCCTTGAGATTGCCTTTTAAATAAATAAACTTGAGATTATTTTTTCTACTTTGTTGTCCGTCGTCCTTGAGCTGCGGGGTAGCTCCCCAGGGGGGGAAGTTACAGTAGAAGAAGGGAGGGGAGGTCGACAGCAGAGCCCCCACACACACCTCCCTCCGGCCTGTGACACTAACCCAAGTAAAGTTCTGCTACAACATGGCGGCACCCTGCCGGCTTCAACTTCCGGTTGATGGATTACCCCCTTGATTGAGACATCTGTTTTTGTGAATAAAAAAATTGCAATGCAACACATAGAAATTAAGAAGAAGCGTCGCTATGTGGACGCAAGATGGCGCCAGTCGCAGTTTGTTATACAGCATTGTTATTGACGACAGTCATTATCTGAAAATATCAAACCTCGGAATGTGTAAGTCAATAGAAAACTGTACGCATGATGATTGCGATATGTTAAGATATGCACTTTAAGTAATAAATGGATTAACATCATTTTATCCTAATTAATCATAATTAATTCATTTACTTTTTTTAACTACTCTGCGTGCCTTCCCTGACATGCTCTGGCACCCCCCTGGGGAGGCGTGCCCCACGCTTTGAAAACTTCTGCCCTATACGAAAAATTAATGGAAAAATATATTTCTGGAACTAACACAGCTGAAAAAGTGAGTGGGCACTAATGCACTCTAATGTGATTTCAGTGGTCTATTTTGTTTTGAAGTTACTGACTCTTAAATGTTTTGTGAGCATGTTTATTTTAAGACATGATTACAGACAAAGCAAAAGTATGTCTTACAGGTTCTTCTCAGTTATCATAAGTTGTAATAAGTTGTAAGTTGCATAAAAATAAATGCTGGTTAATTCAGGATAAATGTAGATTCCTCTGCTGTAGTAACGTAAAATAATTCAATTTCCCCAAATTGCAGTTCAGACTACACGTTACACCCTTCAACTTGGTACTCTTTCACAAAATCTTTCAGTTCTTTGCAGTAAATCCTGTTGACTGATGCTTTGCATATGGAGGTTGATAGCTTCTGCTCGACCCATGTCTTTGAATCCAGCAGGTACTGCATGCTGAGAGAGAGAGAGAGAGAGAGAGAGAGAGAGAGAGAGAGAGAGAGAGAGAGAGAGAGAGAGAGAGAGAGAGAGAGAGAGAGAGAGAGAGAGAGAGAGAGAGAGAGAGAGAGAGAGAGAGTTCATGTCTATTAGATTTAGGGTCTTCTATATGCTATAGTGCAGAAAAGTTTTTGATGTGAAGGACCCCGAAAAATAACAAACTTAATTCAAGGGATCCTATATTCTCTGAGAAGGGAACGAGACGCTGCATCGGAAGTAGCCACACTAATAGGAACGCCTATTAGTGATTGTGATTGTGTTTTCAAGCATGTGTAAAATCAGTCCAGTTGCATGGTGCAGCCCGTAGTGTGACTTCACGACCAGGAAGCTATATAGCGCACCCAGACCAAACAATATCAGCTTCTGATTGGCTGAAGCATTGAAGCAATTACAGGCATGATTGTCAATTACAGGACGTATGGCAGGGTGACTTAGCATCTCGTTCACTTTTCAGAGAACCATGGTTACAGTCAAAACCTGAGACGTTCCCTTTCGAGGGAACTTGCGCTCTGTCGGAAGTAGCAATGCTATTGGAATGATAATACCCACTCCGCCATAATGACAAGTGCCTGTCTATATGCTCAAAGGGTGCTGTAGACAGACATTCTACTACTGCCAAATCCCAAGCCAGAACCCTCACATGGCTTGCAGGCCTCAGCCTCACAGCACCACGTAGGAAATGGGGCACCAGTGGGTTTCTCGCCAATGGCTCATCACCCAAAAGAGTGTGGTAAGAAGCTATGGCTGCCACGCACACCTTTAGAGGGGAGGGGGATAGCCCTGCAAAAAATCGATCTTGAAGGAACTCCAGTACTGAACCAACTGGGAAGTTAACTGGGTCTATCCAACAACCTCTGCACCATGAAATGAAAACTCCCCACTTGAAGTCATATAGTTTCCTAATGGAGGGAGTTCTAAAGTGGGGGAGGGAGTTCTGGAGGGAGTTCTCGGCACGAGTGACAACCCCCACCAGCTCCCCATAAGCAGGAGAGTGAGGTGGCAGGGCCTTAGTCTCTCCTGCCGTAATGCTAAGCACATCCACCTCCTTAGAGCTGGATAGCTGCAGCACCGCGTCATCATTGGGGTGAAAGAAGCCACAGGGCATGCTTCCAACACCTGAGAGAAGGCACTGTATCTAGACGGTGAGGGTAGAGAAAAGGCAGCACCCATCTCTAACCCTTCCACTAAATCCATCTGAGAATGCTTCTTTGCCTTGGCAGCAGACAAACGAACAATAAATAGTAGACAGACAGTTCACGCTACGGGCTGACATCCCGGCATGCCATTGGACTGATTTCACACACACTTGTGTCGCTACTTCAGATGCAGCACAAATTACCTGGAAAAGAAACAGCTTTTATTTGAAACAGATTATTATTATTATTTTTTTATTTTTTTTACTTTTGATTAATGTAATGTATTCCTGCTGAATAGAAGTATTATTGTTAAAAACATTTACTGACTCCAAACTTTTAAATTGTAGTGTATAAAACAGAAAAGAAGACATTTTAAAAATAATTATATTAATTTGTATACTAAGTGTATTAGTATAGAACTATGCTAAATAAACATGAATGAAATATGATGAAGCAGTTTTATAGAAAACAGTGCAGGGCCCACCAATCCCAAATAAGTTAAAAGACATTTTAAGTAATAATAATAATAATAATTAATCACATTTATATAGCGCTTTTCTGGACACTCAAAGCGCTTCACATAGAAGGGGGAAAAAGTATACAAAAGACATTTAAAAAGTATACAGAAATATGACATTTACAACCCCAAATCCCAAAAATTAGGACATTTTGTAAAATGCAATTAAATCAAGAATATGTGATTTGTTCATTCTCTTACAAATTTATTTAACTGACAAAAGTCAAAGAAGAGATCTCCAATGTTTTCACTGAAAATTATTTTTTTGAAAAAAACAAAGATTTTGATGGCTGCAAAAAAGTCAGTTAAAAAGTTGGGAAAGAGGCGTGTTTACAACTGTGTCACATCTTTCCTTTTAATTATACTTTGTAATAGTTTTTTAACTAATTTTTCATTTTTGCAGGTGGATTTTTTGCCCAATCTCACCTGATACAAGACGCTGCTCAACAGTCCATGGTTGTGTTATGGTCTGATTCTCCTTTTCATGATTGGCCATACATTTTCAGTAGGAGACAGATATGGACTACAGGCAGACCATTCAAACACATCCATTCTATGGTGTAGACAAGTGTCTACAAAACCAGTCTGTTGAAGTACATGCTGAATGAGGCCTGGTATTGTCTTGCTTCCCAGGAAAGATTTTATCATGCCATTAAATGTCTATGTATAAACCCAATATATGCCTTCGCGTCAGTTGTACCTTCACACGCATGCAAGTCACCCATGCCGTTAATGCACCACCATACCATGACAGATGTTTGCTTTTGTACCTGTCGCTGATGAATGTCTAGATGGTCACTTTCATCTTTGGGACAGATAACTCAATGTCCCCCCCAAAACAAGCTAAAACAAGGACACATTTGACCGCGGCACACATTTCCACTGTGTTTTGGATCATCGGAGATGAGCTTGCAGCTCCCGATGCCCACGGTGGAAGGGGACGGGAATGGTCTCTACCTCTTGGTGCTGAATGGTTGGTGTGGAAGTCGGTCAGTAGTCATGGGTCCAGAATGTTGAAGGTTCAATCGGTATGTGACTTTGTTGATGTGCCTCTGGATGGACCGACATAGCGGGGACTTAGCTTGCGACAGGGCAGTCTAAGACTGATGTCTCTGGTGGAGAGCCAGACCTTCTGTCCCGATTAGTATTGGGGTTTCGCAGCTGCCCCCTGCAGATGGATTCGATAGATTATAATGTCGTCGATTTAGACGATGACGATGAGGTGGAGGAACTCCCTGGAGGAATATGGAGGGTGAGTTGGACAACCCATCAGGAGGTACTCGTATTGGCCCGATAGTGTAACAAAGGTGGTTTTCTATTCGTCACCCTCATGTATTCGGATGAGGTTGTATGCACTCCGCAGTCCAACTTGGTTAAGATGCAAGCTCCATGTAACTGCTCCAGGGCTGTTGGGACCAGTTGAGAGTGCACTAATCAATGCAGGGCTGCAAGCCTCTGTCCTTTTTTTCCCCACAAAGAAAAAGTTCAAGTTGCAGGGAAAGTAAATTGACAAATTAATTCTTGCTTAAGAGCCTCCTCAATGTACTCCTCCATGGCCTTCTGTTCTGGGATGAACAGTGGCCCAGGCAGCAGGTCGATGGCACAATCCCATGGCCGTTGTGGTGGTAGTTTGGTCGCTAGCTGCTTGCTAAAGACATCCTGGAACACCCGGTACTCGAGGGGGATCTCCTGATGATTGGAATTTCCTGGTCTCTCAATGGTGGTGGAGTTGACATCAATGGTTTTTGAAGAAGTTGTTCTTCTGGTGAAGGGTTGTTTGACAGACAGTTTCTTGACAGGTTGTAAGCAGTTCTCAAAACAGGAATCACTCCATTGTAGAATCTCACCACTATTCCAGCAAATATAAGGAAAGTATTGTAGCCTCCACGAGTGTCCCAGGATGACGTCAGCGGTGTAACCATCCAGCACCATGCCTGAAATATCCTCCTAATGGAGGCATCCGATGTGGAGCATCACAGTGGGGGTCCAATATTGAATTTAGCCACAGCCCAATGGCTTTCCCAGGATCGAGTGGAAGTTTTGAACTTGTGAGCAGGGTCTTTCCTGGAGGTAGAGCTTGCGCAGAAAGTCAAGGGAGATGAAGTTGCCTGCTGACCCAGAGAAAGCCGTCAGCAAGTTAGTAATGGGGCCATTAGCAACCCAGATGGATCTTGCCCAGTGCAAAGCTAGCCCTGTCAGCAGGGAAATGATATACACAATTTTCGCTCGATTATTGTGGAAGAGTTGGGGCTGCATCTCGAAGAATAATGAGCATTGCCACAGAAACCCGCTGCTTTCCCCAGCCTCGCCTGAGTAGGTCGCTGGTTGGGCCATGGGACTGGCAGAGGCAGTGAGTAAAGAAGTGGTGACGGTGGTTGGAATGATTGACGGAGTGCTTGAACCAGTTCGGCAAATGGATCTAGAGGTGGATTACTGACATTGCTTGATTCTATTCCATGTTGCATTGTTGGTCTGCTCTTCTGTCAGCAAACAGAAGAGTGCAACACACAGGTAACTTCCACACAGGTTGTTTATTGCAGATATGGGTAGGAAATAAGCAATGCAAGCAGATGAGTGACTTGAGTTAAATTATATACAGTAAACACAGGCAGCAGAGAATAACAGTTCTTATCTTTCTAGGTAAAGACTAAAGTAAACTGGACGGTTGGAGACTGAAGATGACTGAAAACAACTGAAGACTGAAGAGGATTAAGGAACAGATCAACATGTAAGTATTTCAGGTGGGTAGTCAGGTAGTAGCTCGGTAGGAGCAACAAGACCAGACAATGGTGAACTGAAAAGTTTCTGCTTATTTAGAGAGTCATTGATGAGCTGGTTTAGGTGTTGTTGAATTCTGGTGGTTGTGAACGAATTGGTGGAACGGAAAGGACTGGTGCTGAGGGTGTGACTGGCTCTGTGACAACCCTCACCTATTAACAATTCACTACTTATTATGGACTGTTTCAAAAAGAGTTTAACTTGGATATTCAATAAGCTTTTCACTTGTATTTAGCGTCTGTCACAACTTCTTTGGAGTGTATAGCAGCCATCAAAATCAAAACTTATTATATTCACAAAATACAATTAAGTTGTTCAGTGAAACCATTGGAAATCGTTTCTTTGTACTATTGTCAGTTAAATAAAGTTGAAAGAGAATTTACAAATCACATATTCTTAATTTGTTAATTTGATTGCATTTTACAATACTGTCAAAATAATAAAATAATTGCTATTAATCTCATGATTTCCATCTTTAGGAAGCAAAATTAAACTATAATACAATCAAATTTTATTCTGTAAATGTGTCAAAAGCTACTCTTTAAAATTTCATTAATATCTTAAGTTTTTCCATCAGGGAATAAAAAAAAGGTAATTGTGATTTTATAATCGCATTTTTTTCTTCTTCTCAGAATTGTGATATAATCTTGCAATTGTGAGTTATAAATTCCAAATTGCAAGATACAAACCCAGAATTCTGAGGAAAAAGTCAAAATTGTGAGATAAACTCGCATAAAAAATTGTTTTATTCCCAGATGGAAACAAGGTTCCATAACTTTGTCTTTTCCCAGGTCTACAAAAAATAGTGACTCTATTAAATAGTACCACTTAACAGTGATTCTGCATTACACAGGGTTTTGTCCAATCAAATAACATCTAGGGTGAGACTGTCCCTAACCACAGTAGCAAACCATAGTTCTTGATAGGAAAACAGCCTATAGGCTATTTGAAAAAAAAATAAAAACACAAAAAAACCCCACAAAGTTTCCATTTCAATAGAAAATCCAACTGCTAAATGAAAATATGTACTTACTTTCCACTCGAGTCTTTGGTGGGGCCATCATTGCCCATGATAAGGTACGTCTCACCCTCTTTCAGCTCACCTTTGCAGTGCTTTCTCTTGGCAAACACCCGTGTGCTGCCTGGGTTCACATCTAAGTCTCCCACTGAGGTTTAGAGGTTAAACTCTTAATTTATCTTTGCATTTCTAATAAAGTAACAAGCAGAGTGTCCTTTCTACATTTATTTTTAAAATGCTCATGACTTGATCAGTATTACTCATGACTATTCTAAATCATGCAACATTCATACTATAATTCTTAGAATAAATAATAAAACAAAGAATAGAACTTACTATATCGGAGGACCACGTTCACAGATGTTAAATACAATATAAAGTTGCTCTCTTCAGAAACTGAATCCACATTGACTTCAAGTGCTGTCATTAAAAGAATATAAATTAGTAAATGTCATATATGCCACAGCTTACCACAGTTAATAATATTTTATTGTTTTATTAGTGTTTGCTTGTATAAATATGAGTCACAAACCATAGTCAATGCTGGAGTGGTAACAAGCATAATCCAATCTGTCCTTTTTGTGGATTTTCATCTCAATTGTTTTCTTCTCAGTGAAACAACCCCCTGATGACACAGTGATTATTAGATTTTATGATAATATAAAACTCAAACCAATTCTACAATAAATCATCAGATTAGTTATATGCTGGTTTTAAAATGTTTTTATGTTTGTTTGAATGGATAACGGATAACTGAGAACCTACTTTCTGCACATTGGCACACATCATCTGTGCACAGGACAGAAACCATGTTGCTCCTCTTGGGGGCGCTGTACAGCACAGAACATCTCCTGTCTGTGAAAACGATGGAGATTGATATTTACATCGGTGACAAATCAGAGCATCCACAATAAAGGCTTTTGAAAATCTAGTTTAAAACAAGTTTTTGGATATGTACCATTCATGATGGTTTCAAATGGTTTTAAAAACTTTTACACCATTTTAAAGAAAAGTGTCAATGTAACAACTCCAAATATATTGTGTTGTAACCATCAATTAAAAAGTAAATATATAGTTTAGTTCTTGTGAGAATGACCCTCTTTTAATAAGATTTTATCACCATTATCATTATGTGAACAGCTGTATTTTTATGACCATCAGGCTCTCCTCGCCGGAGTTCTAATCATACACACCACCTCATTACACGCTCATTTGAATGGCTTAAAACTCTCACGCTGTAACACAGTCAGCAGTTTTGGATTCCTTTCCTAAATAATGTGATAAGTGACTCTTGACTACTTACCTGAGATATTACCGGTTTACCTTGGTTTTTAGATGTTATTTGGATGATTGTGAGCCTGAGCTCTCCTGTAAAATTCCTGTGTTTAAAAAGAATCTAGTTATCTGAAATATCACCTGTGTAGGAACTGAGAGTGGCTCAGACAGGGAAGATTTGTTCAAACTGGCCAAGAAGCAGAATCCAATAGAGTTCAAATAAACAATACAGGACCATAAATAAGAGACCTGTCAATTGGGGCCATCCAGTCTGAGCTAACTAACTAACTCCATGAGCACTTGTAACGGATAGTTTCAAAAGAAGGAACTTTAGGCAGTTAACCCATGACTAATGGTGGAAGAGATGGCACATCTTTTGCCTCACGAGGAAAACCATGAGTTAACGCCAAACGGAGGTTTGATTCCCAATACAGAGATCCAAAACCGACCGTCTTTTCAAAGACCTCTGTTTGACCTGAGCTTTAAACACATGAATGAAATCTCTTAAAAACCACTGCCTTTACATATCAAACCGCATTATATTATTCCAAAACAATGCTAGACTGACTTATAATTAAACTTCGTTCAACTGCATAATTCTATATCATGTCTACCTATATGTGACTATTATGGTTAGATCACACATAATTCATGCAAGTTTAATAACTATTGAAAGGTTTATTGGAAATGTGTCTTGTTTACTTTGTGTGTAAATGATTTCGTATTTCTTTAATTATGGCATGGATCAAATCTGTGTAAAATGTATTGCACTCTCATTATAAAATACATGTTTAAATTATACCATGCTAGAGCGGGAAAGTTAGACCATGTTACAAATCAGATAATGTAATTTATGTGAGAGGAGTAGAAATAGTCACACCCTGAACCAAAGACGATACCTAATTGGTCAGAACTCATCTGAAGGCTTGGTCAAACACTCAGAATTAGACGAGATGACGAGACAGAGTGAGATCAGATATGGGGAGACCTGAAAACGGGTTAAGACGGAGGTTAACACTGAAAAGCATCATGCAAGTCATCTAACTACTCTCGTCTCACTTACTTTCTTCACTTAAATTATTTTCTTTTCCACTGAGAGTCTTGCTTTCTAGGTCAGCAAAGCTTCAGTCAACAACTCTATAGTCTTTGCCTTCCTCAAACTTCAAACTTCAGCCACAATTTGTTTCATTCAACTCTTTCAACTCTGTTTCATTCATCCACCAATGCGCCAGAACGTGATTGGCTTCCCAAGACTCCAGATGCAAGAATACCTCCAGTAAAGCAACAAACCTGGGAATGTCTTTTTCAGCAAAGGACACCAACAAAGGGAATCCCCATTTAAGACATAAACAACAAAAGCAAACTACCTCCAGATCCTAATATGGTGCATTGATATAAAATGTAATAACCATGCATAAGAAATGATAGAAGGGTTAAATTAATAATTTATGGTCAGGTCTTATAATGTGCATATGTTTAAACTTGGGATTTTATAATTTCACTCTCTTAAAGGGATACTCCACTTTTTTTTGGAAATAGGCTCATTTTACAACTCCCCCAGAGTTAAACTGTTGAGTTTTACCGGTTTTGAATCCATTCAGCCTATCTCCGGTTCTGGCGGTACCACTTTTAGCATAGCTTAGCATACATCATTGAAGTGGACAAGACCATTAGCATTTCTCAAAAAAAAATGACCAAAGTGTTTCGATATTTTTCCTATTTAAAACTTGACGGTTAAACCGTGTGAGCAGACCATATAAATCCGATCTTTAATTCCCGCGCTATGCAGATTTCATGGAGTGCACGTCACCGAAAGCAACAGATATGAGCTGCATTTTATTGATCATCAGCTAAAATTTCAAAATCAAAGACCGAAATCAGAGAGAGGGGCAACAGCCCTGGTAAGATAATTTCGTTTCTTTACTTTTAATGATGATGATTGTGTGTTAAGCGTCTGCGGCACTTTGATTTGCGATAGTTTTTGCACGTTGGCTTAATGAATAGATGCTCAGCTGCTCATCTGCGGTGGTGCGTGTTGCAGTAGTGTCACTGGCTATAACATTACATATAGCCTATAACACGCTCTCACACGTTTATTTTTTTCGGATTTTTGAGAGGAGGAAAATTGACATAATGTGGTTTCAACAACCAGACATTTACACTTGTCCAGTTTCGTCTGGAATGTGGCCCAAACCACCTCCTGAAGTGGTTTGAGCGATCGGATTCAAATTCGTCTCGAATTCGTCTCGGAGGGCATTTACATCTGGTCTTTTCACAGAAAACGCATGAAGTGGCCAGGCTATGAAGTGGTAAACAGCCACTATGTGTCAGATATTAGTTTTATGTGTGAGAATAATCAATAAAATCTTATTTTTATGTTAAAGATAAGTGTTCTTGTGTTATGTGCTTACAAATTTAATGTTTTAAACTTCTGATCTTGTTACCGTGCTTATAAATTGTGTTTTTTACGGTAATCCAGTAGTGCACAACCCAAGAAATTTAAAAAGCAAACATAAGTTTACAAACACAACAAAATCAAGCCACAACAAAACGAAAATAAGCCACAACACAACGAAATTAAGCCACAACACAATGGAAACAAGCCACAAAAATAATGCATGTAGGTGATTTTGGGCCCAATTTTAACGCTCTAAGCGCATGGTCTAAAGCGCATGGCGAAAGTGCAGTTAGGATGTGTCAGAATCCACTTTTGCTAGTTTAACGATGGGAAAAATGGTCGGGGCGCTAGGCGCATGGTCTAAAAGGGTTGTCTCTATTCTCTTAATGAGTAATGGGTGGGTTTGGGCTTTACCTGCAATGAACTAATCAGACAGAGTCTCATCTCCCATTCTCTTTGAATGCCAGTTGCGCTTGCGCCATGGCGGATTTGCTATTTACATGACGGAATTTGATAGTGGAAAGACCGAACACGTCTCCAAAGCGCAAACGGATCTGCTCGTGCACGAGGTTAAACCGTGTGAGCAGACCATCTACGGGACAAGCCGGATTCCACCATATCTTTATGTACACAATAATAATCTTCTACATTGTAATCCTTTTATTTTTAAAATTTGCCATGTTTGTGTGCTGCTGCGCGTCCCTGTGTGTTTAATAAGCAGCGTGTACGCGCGTTGTGGACCCGCGTATAGGCACACATTACTTACGTGCTCTATTCACGAGTTCACACTTACAAATGATCAGAGAATAAATGGTTATGCGTATTTGGCGTGCTGTCCGGGGGAGGGCTCCGAGCTCGGAAATTGGGCCCAAACCCAGAGTACTCCCCCCATATCTCTGTTTAGGAAGACAACTAGGCAAGTGTGAGGAGATGGGGTGGTGGAGGGATGCTGAAAACTGTCGAGGAATATGGGTGAGTCGACTGAGTATATTTATAGGCTTTACTCGTGCTGATTGAGTGGACCTGTTGATTACTGATTGCTGACAGCTGGCTGGAATGACTTGATTGTTTGATCATTAGAACGTGTTCCTCCCGAACATTGTTAATAAAGTGTTTACATGTCCTCCCAGTTGGATTAGAAAAGGAATAAACCACCCCTTTCAATCGAATTGAAATTTTATTCGGATCGAGCTCAATCGGATCGATTAAGGTGTTTACATGAAGGCTTTTTAGTCCGATTGAACCGTCAATGCGTTTACTAACGGATTATTTGGATTTGGTTGCATGTAACGTAGCCTGTTGCAATGAGCCTTTTGTGAAGCCCACTTATTGGCTGTGTCGGTTAACACAGAGAAAGTCTCGCGACCCCCTATAGAACGAACAACGACCCACTAGTGGGTCGCAACCCACTGGTTGAGAAACACTGCTCTAGTGCGTGAACTGAAGACGCGAGAGAGAGGAGATGAGAAATGAAAGGGCGGCCTTGTGGAATAATGCGCATGGCCAAGTTTAAGTGGCCGAGCATGGATAGGAGTTTGCGTTTGGAACACTTTGAACTGTCTACGAGGGTAGATGAGATGAGGATTATTCTATCGATTTTGGCAGGGAGGCCTGCTATTTATCTGAATCTAGCTTAATGCCAAGGAACTCGATGGATGTGGCGGGACCCATGGTTTTTTCCTGAGAGATGGGGATTCCGAGCTCGGAAAATACTCTTTGAACTGTGAGGATCTGGGCTGCTGGAATGGAGCCGGGAGGTGAAATTATTAGAAAATCGTCCAGCAGGTGAATGAGGTGAGGAATTGCGTAATTGTTTGACAAGATCCAGCAAATGGCTTCAGATAGCATGTCAAAAATTTTGGGGCTGCTTTTGTATCCAAAAGTTAAGCGTACGGCGAAATAGAATTTCCCATGCCAGCGCACTCCGAATAAGTGCCATGAATCTGGGTGGATGGGCATCACTTTAAAAGCCGAAGTGATGTCAATTTTTGCGGGCCAGGCACCCCGACCCACGATTTTTATCAGGTCGACTGCGTGATCTACGTCGTGGTATTTGAGAGAAAATTCGTCGAGTGGGATCAGGCTGTTAATGTTTGGGAACAGGGAATTATGTGGAGCTGACAGATCGACTATGAGGCGTTTCTTACCTGAAAACATTCTCGTAGCCACTCCAATGGGGCTTATGCGAAACACTTTGAAAGGAGGCTCGTCAAAAGGGCCAATCATGAAGCCTGACTCGACTTCTTTTTTAATCAGGTTGTCTACCACGTCGGGCTCGTTGAGAGTCGATTGGAGATTATCGCAGATGATGTTTTGGGAGAGCGGACAAACCACTCCAGGTTTAAACCGTGTTGTAGGCCAGACAGCAGATATTCAGTGAAGTCAGAGTCTGGGTGGTGAGCTAGTTCGATAGAAAGGCGAGAAATATTCACGGGAGTCGATAAATAATTTTTAGATTTTTTATTGACATCTTTAAAGACAGGGCATACAGGACGGGCATGAGCACCGCCACAGAAGCTACATATGTGCAAGTACCGACAACGCCGCCTGGTGCACTTGCCGATATTAAAATTGTTGCAAGGCTGTTTGTTGTCCGTAAGTGCTCTGGGGCCTCATTTATAAAACTGTGCGTAGGATCCTTACTAAAAGTGTATGTGCGCCCGAAAGCCAAAAATGGCGTACGCAAAAAAATATTCAGATTTATAAAACCGTGCGTACGCCAGAACCTGCGCAGAATTCACTTTATAAATCCCGATAAATCTCAGTCAGCGGAAGATTGTGCGCACACGCGTCTCCTCCCCGAAATAACCATATATGGAGCTTACAACGCCTAGTTTTACTATGCATATCCTCATCTGCATATCATTTGCATATGATTATTCATCCACGTGATAACATGTTTAACGGTATAGACATTAGGAAAATATGAAATAGCCTAATACGGATGTGCCGTCACATTAGCCTACATTAATAAAAATAATTTAGTAGCCTATCCTTGCCTTGTTTTTGAATAAATAAATCAAATAGTGTAAAATACATTTCAGAGAAAGTTTTCACAATCTGCACTGACCAAATAGTATTTTTTATTGATTTATATTTTTAATGGAAACAGATAGACTGTTGTGCATTATTTGCACGAAACTATTTTCTCAGACAATCTTCTATAAGCAATTATCTTAGTTAAAACATTAAAACACAGCATGCCAGAGGAAAAGTGTCAAAAGCATTGCATCCACAACAAATATTTATATTTATTGAATATAAAAAATGTTGTAACTTCTCAGTAATGATTTCATGTTTAAGTGTTTAACTCCATCAATGACAATGGCATATTTAATCTAAATGTTTATATCAGAAGTAAAACAGTTTAAATCATTCTTTTATTTATTTAAACTGTTATTGTGAACATGCACTGTTTTTATGATTAGGACTCTGTCGTTAGATAGGCGTTAGTTTCACTAAACGGCACAACGCGCTCGCTGGCGTGGACATTTAAGAAGGGATGAATATTTGCCTCAAGTGATATGCTTGGTGAGTGAAATTATATTTGTATTATCTTTCTGTATAGCCTATGTATAATTTTCTTTAGATTTTCTGTCTAAAAGTGACCAAAAAGACATTTAACTCCAGCTCACCATCGGTGTCGCCAAACTGCTCCGTCTCCAAAACGTTCGTACGCATGGGTCAGAGTTTGCGTGCAGGTGCGCACATTTTTCCGTCAAGTTTGTTTTTATAAATCACAACTTATACGTCGGAAGTGGCGTACGCCTCTTTCAGGGCCTGTTTTGTGCGTACGCAACGGTTATAAATGAGGCCCCTGGAGCGGAAATTAGCCTCGTGTGGATATGGGTTGCTAGTCGCCGGTCTTGGTGTGTAGCTGGTGGATTTGACTGGTGCCGTTTCCGGGCATGGAGGAACGGAGGGGTTAACTTGAGGGCACGATATTGTGGAATGTGCCACTGACCTGCAGACCGCGCAAGAAATATTCCTTCAGCCAAGGAAAACTCTGCTGTACAGGTCAGTGTCTAGTGCTCCCAGTATGGGCATTGGTTCCACTGTTAAACCCTAACAGCGCATTTTGCTGAGAAGAGTTTGTGATATGTGTAAAAGTGCCCTCCCCCGTAGGACAACGCGAGCTCGGCTATCAGCGCTAAATAGTCGTTCAGTTCGCGTCGCCTATGAGGGAAGGCTGAGCAAATGATTTCTGTGAAGTGGCTGAAAGCGATTGAAAACTCCGAAAAAGAAAGTAAACATGATGAATGTGTATTTTGGTTTTTTAAAGTGACTGAAAAATCCCCGCAGTCTAACTGACGGTTGGAATCGGATACGGGAAGCAGAGAAAGTAAATGTGAAAGGGCTACATCCGCACCTGCCAGAATCTGTGCTCGGATGTTTTGAGTCACTGGGGGAGGCTCCAGAGCGACAGTGTTTGGTGGGACTGTCATCGGGGTAGCTGTGAAAAGAGAATATTGTGATTTGGCATTTAAGAGAGAGCTGTAAGGGAGAGAAGCCTGGGCTGCGACTATCGGCGGAGGCAGCCTCACGCTTAGGTCGGCCTGTGGGGCTTGAGAAGGGAAATTTAGAAAAGCATAAGGGGGAAAAGGAGGAAATGAATGAGAAGCCTGAGCTTGTGTTGCAAGCGGAGGCAGTCTCGCACTTGCTTGAGCTGCAGGTCACTGAAAAGGGGAGGGGTTAGCAGTAGTCACAGGAAGATGGTGGAATGTTTGGGCCTGCACCGCTAGCGGAGGCAGCCTCACGCTAGCGTCTGCTACGGGAGCCGGAGGCCACTGCAGAGGAAAAGAGTTAGAAACAGCAGGAGGAAAAAGCTGAGAGGCAGAGGGTGCGCCGGCGGGACCAGCTGTGTATGGCGCTACGGCAGGAAGCGCCGTGCTGAAAAGCTGAGCTGAAGCGGGAGGCGAGAAAGGTCTCGCAGCGGTGGAATCTGGGGCTCGCCCAGGCTAGCAGATGGCCTGGCGCCGCGGGCTGATGTGCGCGGAAAACCGGGTCTTGTACGAGGTGGTGACGGAGTCGAGCGAGGCGAATTCGGGGCCTCCCGAGTTTTGCCCGGCCTGCTGGCCGCTTTGGAACCTAGGGCGGACTTAGGAGAGAGATTGGAAGATTGCAATGTTACGTACAAGTTGTATAATTGCGCTTTGGTCATCCTGCGCGAGGGCTAAATAGCAGAATTTATCAGCGCTTGTCTTAGACTCAAGACTGTCCACTTTCCAATAGGCGGAATCGTCGGTACGGCCGAACGATAGGAGGACGTCAGGGAGAGAGCGGGAGTCCTCGCCGGTGGAGGTGAGGGTAAGCCTCGCCGTCTTGGCGGGGTTGCTTGCGCAGACCGCCGCCCGCGAGATGAAGCATGGGGCTCGGAGGAGGTGTCAGGCGGAGAAGAAATGGTCCTGGGGCCATCTGATGGCGGCGGAGGAACCGGAGCATGGTTAACCTCGTCATCGGATGGTGAAAGCTGCATTTGGGACATCGTAACAAAGCGGTAAACCAAATGCTGAAAACTGTCGAGCATGCTGAAAACTGTCGAGGAATATGGGTGAGTCGACTGAGTATATTTATAGGCTTTACTCATGCTGATTGAGTGGACCTGTTGATTACTGATTGCTGACAGCTGGCTGGAATGACTTGATTGTTTGATCATTAGAACGTGTTCCTCCCGAACCTTTTTAATAAAACATCAAAAAATAAGAAAACAAATATTGCGCCATTGACTTTAGACCAGGTTTCAGTTGGTCAATGACGCAGCCTATTTCAGTTGCATCAAAATAGCAACGCGCCAACAATGTACCTGAACACACCTCGTTTTCAGACCATGGGCGCACAGATGGGCACAAATGCATTTGCTATTTAAACAACATGGCGCAGGACGTGAAAATGATAACTGCGTCAGGCTGAAACAAGCAAAAAACACTTGCGTCGCGCCTGGCGCTGCATTGCATATGATAGGGCCCTTTGAATTAACATTTCATTTCAATATACAATGGTTACATACATTAAAACTAATCATGGTAATGATATATTTGTAAGACTGTCGACTCTGTAGAATATTGGCAAGAAAAACTAACTTTACTGCGCTCCGAGAGCCCCGTGGTCAGGAGCATTTCCGTTGTGTTGTGGTTCGATTTTGTTGTTTTGTGGCTTGATTTCATTGTGTTGTGGCTTGTTTTCGTTGTGTTGTGGCTTGATTTAGTTGTGTTGTGAACTTATGTTTGCTTTTTAAATTTTGTTGTGTTTTGCACTGCTGGGCCACCGTAGTTTGGATGTTAATATCCGCTACAGAGTTGATAGTTACGGCCCGCTCAAAATTCCCTATAAATTAATAGATAATACCATTTGAGCAAAATTGACCTGTTCCCTGTTTTTTGGACGAATATGTATGGATGAATGGATGATTGCTATTCTCAGTTCTCCTGTGATTCTTAGTATTTGAAAATACTTGATTTACCTGTTATACTTACTTGTTGGTGATCTCCGCAATCTTGGATCGCTTCCCTCCAATGCATCACACCCTTATCTCGTAATATTTCATGCCTGCATACTTGTTACTTACCCTTTGTTACTCATCTGTTTGATTCCTGTGTTAACTCCCACTATTGTGTTCATCCTTAATCTCCGCTGTGGTGAATTGATACATGTATCACCCTGACATTTTTTATATTATGCCCCCTTATTCAATATTTATATAAAAAAATATGTCTCAAAAGTGACGTCAACAACAAGTATAATTGTTATGGTTCTGTAAAATACATTTCAATTGAAATATAGGAATAGCTTGCCTGGTTCATAGTAATCATAAAATGTAGCAGGAGCTGGTTGAACTAATCCAATGGGCACACTTTGCGTAGCTCCGAATGCTATACAGGCCTCACCTTCCTCTATCTGAGGGTTGAGAGAGACAAGTTAGAATTTTTCTATATAATAGGGAGATATGATTAACTATGACTGTGTGTTTGTGCTCATGTCACCTCATTGAAGTACAACAGCACTCTTCCACGTGTGAGCTCATAGTGAGAAATATATCTGTCCACCAGGTCTTTCAGCTGTTGGAGAGAATGTTAAAAAATAAGAGACAAATTTAAACCACTAAGTTCATCATAAAACACAGACAAATAAATGTTAACCCTCTGGGGACCAGAAACGCGCCGGCGCGTTTTGCCGTTTTTTTTTTCACATAGCAGAAAAATAGACTTAAAATACTCTGTTGATTTTGATCGTACATATAAGTGTTATACATCAATCGATCCTGTTAATTGTCTATTATTTTTCTGTATACTCACAATAAAAACAAAGTTTTGTGCTTTTTGTCAAATAAAGAAAAATAAACATGATGCGAGTTTTCCCTTCTCTCTGTCAGTGCAGTCCATTCTGAAACACGTCCGAAAAATTAACTCTAACTCTGCAAATACTTGTCACACAGGCACGAGAGATTTTTCTTTATGAAGCTTGAATTCTCTTCTTTTCAATGAAGTAATTTATATAAAAAACAAATATTCTCAGTTTATGTAATCTGTATGAAAAGAGAGTGCTGTCAGATTTTTTCTCCCCAGCTCATTACGCAGGTGGGAATTTTCTTGACTCAAAGTTGTCCTGAGGGCAGAAGCGTTTGTGATTGGTTCAATCTGACAACCAATCGCAAGAGAGGAGAGAGAGAGGAGAGAATTGCAGAGGCGGGGCCACCATTTTGAAAATTCCCGCAAATATTCCCACAGGTGCGCAGGTAAGAGGAACTGGTTATCATTTAACGGTGCGCAGCCAAGAGGAACTGCAACTGGAACTGGTTATCATTTCAAAGTAAGTTTCTAAAAACAAAAACGTAATTTTCATGAAAATGGATCATTGTATGTACAGCTATGTGTGATTTTCTTTCTGCCCTCGAAATCATAGTATAATGGTGCAGCTTGTAGCTTAAGGGTAGGCTAGCCTACTGTTTCAGAAGCAAGCTAGTGTTGTAGCTTGCATTAAAATGTTGCAGTGGCTGTTGCAAACGGTTCTCATCACAAAAATGTAGAAGAACAAGATAATTCAGAAAAAACGTCACCTTTTCAGTGTGTGCACATGCATGTCAACCATAAGCGCTAGCTAGTCAAGCTAATCAGGTGAGCTAGAAAGCTTGTCCTCTTAACCCTGCATGGGCCCGCCGGCGGGCCCATTTGCCATTGCATGTTTAAAACAATAATATCTTAGTAAAAACCTAAAGTAATATTGCCAAACTATATATCATTTGAAAGCTTAAAATCTCTAGTTTTCATATTTGGTGGCTGTTATCTAAAATATATTACAGAGGAGCAGAAATTTATCAATTTGCAACAAGAATATTTCATATTCATTAGGAGTATTTAGGCCTTTATTTTGAAATAACAATAAACATGAAAAATCATGAAAGATTGGTAGAAACCTCAGTTTGTTTTCATGCCATGAGTTCAAAAGATAACACCAATTCCATTTTATGAGAAAAAAAGGTCTGAAAATGTTTTAAATATAAAGAAAAATGTATGGATTCTCGATTTGTAATGCGGCTGCGAGCTATAACGCTATAACGTAGTCTTTATGCATTTATTAGAGGTTTAATTCAAATAAAATACTGCCAAACCACCCCTACTACTTCTGAATAGGATGTCTACTTCATAAATTGTATGAAAATTATGGAAATACATGGTTCAGATCACTCAAAACATATGAAAATGGAGGCGCCCTTATATGGGCAGTAATGGAGTCTGGTGTTCACCTAGTGAAAAAGTTGGGTACTGCGCCCGAATAAAATCTTACTGAAAGCTCATTTTTTGAGATATCAACCTAAAATTTGGAATACAACTTGTTCAGATATTTGACTTTAATTTTCTTGCAGTTTTAGAGTAAAATATATTTTGTAATATATATATTTTATATAAAATATTTATCATTATATTTTTACATTACACAATTTCATAAACTCAAACTTATATAACTTTTTTTCTGTTTCATTTTTTACAATTTCTGGACTTCTACAATAATCTGGAAAATGTCTTCTTTAAAACAAGACCACCCATAGGTCTATATTCCAAAGCATTCCTGAATTACAACCATTTAAGTTTGGATAGTGATTTTTATGTCTATGCAAAAAAAAGGGGGGTGCCAGTTAACAGGTTAAGTACATTGCAATAAGCTTTACTGTACTCATATTCAAAAAATAAATGACTATTTAGGGCGTTGTAGTCTAATTTATAAATTTGGCTTTTCTTCATGACTGTTTAGTCTAGGGGTGTAACGGTACATGTATTCGTATTGAACCGTTTCGGTTCGAGGCTTCCGGTTCGGTGCGCATACAAACCGAACGATTCCTTGGACCATTTTTTCCTGCCGACAAAATTCGCGCTCGCGCGTTCACCACAACGTTGCGCTTCGTTGCGGAACGAAACTGCGCTTCTCATTATTGTGCTTCACGGACCGTTTATAAGTTCGGACCAGCAACATCTGTGCAGCGCGAGCCGATCTCGATCAAGCAAAACTACACAGCGCTAAGAGATCCAGTGAAGAAAACATTTGAGTTCGCCACTGAAGTAATAACATCGCTGCGAGATCTAGTGAGAAGCATTCACATTTCTCCGTTATTAACCGTAGATCTCTATTAGATCAAACAGCGCTGACGTGGACACCAGGAGAAACATTGTGCCGTGAATGAACTAGTAATACTTTACGTCCACAGACCAGCAACATTCACCATGGATTTAATATAGTAACACTAACTGTAACCAGTTTGGCTGGAATAGTGAAATGCTTTCAAGTACTTCACACATCTTTTTCCAGCACTTCAAAACTCAAATATTATATAAATAAATATATGAAGAGTTCAGATGCAAAAGCCATTTTAAATTTTCTTCTAGAATGATCATTTTTATGAAGCTTGTATATTTAAGTTCAGTAATTTTACTCAAATGACAATTAATAGGTAATCTTCATTGCCATTTAAGTGAAATTACTGAACTTAAATATACAAGCTTGATAAAAATGATCATTCTAGAAGAAAATTTCAAATGGCTTTTGCATCTGAACTCTTCATATATTTAAATGTTATTTTTAATGTGATGACCAAAACATTATTTGTTCATCCTTCAAAGATGACACCCATTTATAGACCTGAAAGTTTCAAGATGTAGGAAAACTCACACTTATTTAAAAAATATTTTTTCTTTTAACAAATAGGAAATTCTCTGGCATTTCTTTCTTTTTGCTGTATCGAAAACGTACCGAACCATGACTTTAAAACCGAGGTACGTACCGAACCGTGATTTTTGTGTACCGTTACACCCCTAGTTTAGTCTCATCTGGTCCCAGGGCAGAGACTATTGTTTCCCACAATTTTGTCCCAGGGCAGGTGAATCCCTCCTGGTCTCAGGGCAGAAGTTGTTTTGTAGGATTTTCCTCATGACTGTTTAGTCTCATCTGGTCCCAGGGCAGAGACCATTGTTTCCTATGGAATGCCAAAGCTGACTTTATTATAAATAAATAAATAAATATACGAAGAAATGTAAAAAAGCAAAAATACATAAATATACAAAGAAATGTAAAAAAGTTACAAACGAAAAACGAAAAGTACTTTTATTTCCTTATATATAATATTCCTTATTCCTATATATAATTGTATTTTTCACACATTTATTTATTTATACATTTATTTATTTCCACATTTATTTATTTATACAAGGTGTCACTGTGGCCTCAACTTCAGCACGGCCACTCTGAGCTCGATTGCTGATGTCTGAGGTAAAACACGCCCCCTCATTAGCATACGGACAAATAAATGTAGAAATAAATAAATGTGGAAATAAATAAATGTAGACATAAAAACATATATACACAAATGAATGTGGAAATAAATAAATGTATAAATAAATAAATAAATAAGAGTGTGAAAAAATACAATTATACATAAATAAGGAAATAAAAGTATAAATACTCATTTATTTGTACTTTTTTACATTTCTTTGTATATTTATTTATTTATTTATGTATTTTTGCTTTTTTACATTTCTTCATATATTTATGTATTTATTTATTTATTTATTTATAATAAAGTCAGCTTTGGCATTCCATAGGTTTCCCACAATTTTGTCCCAGGGCAGGTGAATCCCTCCTGGTCTCAGGGCAGAAGTCGTATTTTTCTCTTCTCAGGGCAACGTAGTTGGACAAAAGGGAGTCAGCTGTCTTCTCTGGTCTCAGGGCAGAAGTTGTCTGAGGGCAGGTGAATCCCTCCTGGTCTCAGGGCAGACAGATATTTCTAGATTTTGCCTTTCCTTCCAGCCCAGTCTCATCCCAAGACGTCATATGACTGACGCTTTTGACCATACGTCAACATCCGACGTTTTAGGGTACCCTTTAACGTCAGTTAGATGACGCTATCTAACCCTAACCCTACCCCAGACCTAAACCTACCCGCGTCATCTAACTGACGCTAAAGGTAAAGCGTCAGTCAGATGACGCCCTAGGATCGTCATCTAACTGACGTTAAAGGGTACCCTAAAACGTCGGATGTTGACGTATGGTCAAAAGCGTCAGTCATATGACGTCTTGGGATGAGACTGTGTTGTTTCTTCATGACTGTTTAGTCTCATCTGGTCCCAGGGCAGAGACCATTATTTCCCACAATTTTGTCCCAGGGCAGGTGAATCCCTCCTGGTCTCAGGGCAGAAGTTGTATTTTTCTCTTCTCAGGGCAACATAGTTCAGTTGGACAAAAGGGAGTCAGCTGTCTTCTCTGGTCTCAGGGCAGAAGTTGTCTGAGGGCAGGTGAATCCCTCCTGGTCTCAGGGCAGACAAATATTTCTAGATTTTGCCTTTTCTTCATGACTGTTTAGTCTCTTCTGGTCCCAGGGCAGAGACTATCGTTTCCTACAATTTTGTCCCAGGGCAGGTGAATCCCTCCTGGTCTCAGGGCAGAAGTTGTTTTGTAGGATTTTCTTCATGACTGTTTAGTCTCTTCTGGTCCCAGGGCAGATACCATTGTTTCCCACAATTTGTCCCAGGGCAGGTGAATCCCTCCTGGTCTCAGGGCAGAAGTCGTATTT